GTAGAAGCTCATGATAATACACTATAAGATAGGTAAAATATTATATGCATTAGTAATGACTAATTATAGTAATTGACGTTCAAAGGCAAGATCACCCCACCCTATCTTTTTTTCTCACCAAATATCAAAAAAGTTCTCTTCCGTCTGATGACAATGTTATCCTTTTGTGTTGACGGGTGATGGAACCTGTTTGTTTGACTACCAACTACCAAGTGTTGACGAGTAAATATATCTGACTAGTACTCTTCAAGCATTACTCTTGTGTACTCGATGATTGAGGACCTATCAACTTGCATTAACTTCCCGTAGTACTAATAATTGTTTCTTGATGCAATTACTTGTTGGAACAGCAGAATGCCAATTGTACTTCAGTCATTTTTTAATTTATATGATATTTGAGCACCTTAAGCTAAAATTTAACTTTAAAAGGAATAATCTTTGAAAAGTAGTATCAAAGAACTTTCATGATTTATTTACTTACTAGGAGGTACATGTATAGCTTGATAACATCTCTTTCGTAAATTGTGATGATTTTCCAGTATGATGTTCAGGTTGGTAAGACATTGTACTTAATTTGTATCTGTGATATTTTATACTTTTGTATGCCCTGGGGCTTCATCTCAATGGTAAGAGTGCAACACGTGATATGTGTGTTAGGCGCATGTCACGAGTTCGACCCTCTGACGAACTAGAAGCTTGGTACTCCTTTTATCTCATTTAATGTGACGTACTTCCTTTTTAGTTTGCCAGAAAAACAGACAGAATTTTATATTTAGAAACAATTTAACTTTAAACTTCTTGTTTTACACTTAAATGGAATGATTTCTAGCCACAGAAATGTTTTTATAGTTTGTTTTAAACTACAAGTCTCAAAACTCTTACTTTTGTGTTCAATCAAACACAATATTATATAAAATAGTATGGAGGGAATATTTAAGTGGAGATAGGCAGAGGTACACTGAGTTTCAAACCATGTACAGGCTCTCAAGGATTTCTCAGTAATAAAAAATATTTTCTTTTACTTTTAGTAGTATGCTTAGATACTTATGTTAAAATTTCCAAAAACATTTAAATCAATTTAGATTCCTAAAACTTCTAATGTATTTTCATAATCCATTGTTTTATTATCTTTTATTATATATAAAATAGAAAATTTTAAAAATCTAGGATCTTAGGCCCCACATATCGTCCAACCTTTTAGAACATTGAATAATATTTATTAGAAAGAAAAAAGAAATTTCGGGGTTTTGGTTTCTCGTATAGGAGAAAATTACCATTTGCATTTCTTGATACAACATTACCATTTGCATTTCTTGCACAAATTAATGCATACATAATTTATTAAGTTATTTATTATTTTATATGGGTAGAAGAATGTATTAATAGCAAAAACCGATAAGACCACCTAAAATGACAAAATTACTCTTAAAGTAAAGCACCCTTATTTTATAGAGTCAACATATTTTTCTTGGGTTTACTTTTCAGCTTTTCATAGTAGGAATAAAACTCATGATCGAATTATAAAGTAAGAACTTCTAATAATTTTGAGTTTAAATACTAATATTTCTACATTGGTACTGAACTACTGATTATGAGAGCTAATTCTTGGTTTTGGTGTTACACAATTTAAGTTTTGATATATTAAAAGAAAACTAAATCACATAATTTAGTTACATTTGCCACATAAAAATTGAAATGTTATTTACTCCGATATCCTTTATTGAGTAAGATTACTATCCGAGCATAATTTTTCAAAGTGACTAACGAATGATGCTTAAATTAAGCAGTATTGACAAAATAATCTAGTTCAAATCCATGTTTTTAATTCCACAACATATATACAAATTTCGTGATACAGTGATAATTATTCATGTATTATAATCTCTTTTGTAATTGGTTGTGAACCAAATATCCGGAAGATTTTAAACACTCTCAGAAAGCAAAGATTGATTATAAACCCCCGAGGGCTTTGGTCTAGTAGCAAGTGCCTAGAAAGTGATATATGGGTTAGGTGCATGTCACGAGTTCGAACCTTGCCACCAAAAGAAATCTGGTATTTAAGTAGAGAATGGTAGAGGGGATTGGTTCCATTTTCCACCAAGTTTCGGACCGTACACCACCAACCCTCAGGGATTTATCAGTTACCAAAACAAAAAAACAAAGTTCAATTATACTAAGTTACACCAAAACTAGTTTACAAAGCAGAAAATTGCTCAGGATAGCTAAAGACGGGTAAAAAGCTTACTTCAGCAATGAATGGCCACAATTTGCTCAACTGTTTGTTCAACCATTTGACCTGCCATGACATATAAAATGAGACAAATTATCAATGACGTGATTACTGTATCAGTTTATTTCTTTCAATTGCATGGAGAAAAAGTTTGCGAAAACACCAGAAATGCATAACCACTAAGATTCACAACTGACATTGATAAGATATGGAGATTACTGTTTATCAACACACTTTTGATCCCTTTTCTTGTAAATATAGTCATATTTTTTTCTGTAAATTACCCATTTCTTTGTTAGATTGTATTGTTACTCCATATTTGAGGGTAATATACTTTAAAAAACAGTCTAAATATAACACATCTCCTATATGAGTCATACACTCCACTTGTAGGATTAAATTGGGTATGTTGTTGTTGCAAGTAAAACTGATCTTCAGTGTCTTCATTCCTTGAGAAAAAACATTAGTTGTAACTAGATCACAGTGAAGAAAGTTGCCTTTTAGCTTTAAGAAGAAGGAATTAAGTGAATCTTTGTTCCTATCATAACGATAAGCTAACAAGGCCAGTTGAACAAAATGCATCTCTTCAAAGACAGGAAGATTTTTCTGTTTGAAAATATATATATGAGGGCATTAATTCTTTGAGCTTTTCTTCCGGAGATGTTAAGAAGATTATTCACAATTCAGTGAACAATTCAGCTTGAGTAAATGAGCTAAGTGACACAAGTACAAGAGTCAATGCAATAAAAGGGAAAAATAATGAACTAAGTGTCATAAGAACAAGATTCAATAAAATAAAGGGCGAAACTGAAACAAGTAAAGCCATTCAACCTGTTCATAAACCGGGAATGATATCCATTCAGGAAAGTTATCACCACAAACTTTCTTTAGATCATCCCTGCAGAGGCAGCCCATTACTTTTACATCTACTGCCTGTAAAAAGATGTAAAATATAACAAGGAAATGAATACCAGTCCTTCAGAAAGTACAAATGCATATCAGAAATTTGAATGTTGTTTGCAAGCATGATGATGAGGATGTAAATCTTGGCACTAGCAACAACATTGCCCAGCTTTTATACTACTTATAGCAGTACCACAGGGAGCAATATCAGCTACCACCTCATCTAAGCAAAGTCGAGCATCAAGCAGCCAAATACTACCACTTAGGAAGCAACCATGAAGCACCTTATCCACATCAATAGCAGAAACTAACAAACATTCCACTATTAAGCATATAGCTATACATCTTCTAAAGTAACACACTAACAAACATATCATTAGTAGAAACTACAACTTAGTCGCCTTAACAGACACAAAATTATCACCATTTTCAGTGTGCTTTCCAAAATTGCTCTTATGGCCTCACTCGTTTATCGCAATGAAGTACACTACAGGGCAAAGAGAAACAACCTGAAAACAAAAAACTTCAACTTGAAAATAATAAGTAAATTGTCAAAGAGAACCTCAAAGGAAAAATTTCCATTCTCGGGTTGATACTTACCATAAGTCCATTATTTGCCAGAAAATTTAGAGTTACAGAACCCTAAAAAATTGACTTAAAAGACAAACTATTGAGTATTGGAATGAAATGGATCCAGCCAGAGTAGACTAGATACTGAGGATTCAAATAGCCAACCCCAACTAGTTTGTTAAAATGTTAGGATTGACGGATAATTGTAGTTATGACAAACTTGAAAAACATTCAAATCTGGAGAATGGCGAGAATACCTTAGCAATTCTCTTGTTGCTCCTGTACCTCGTCATATGCTTCCAAACTGCCATTAACCCTATCCCGCAGATCATCCCCGTCAGAATCCCAGTAATCAACCCCATTTTTACTTCAGATCACTTCAACCCAATTTCCCTAATAACATTGACACCTCAATTATCAGAAGAAAGAAAAAAAATCCCAACTCCCCAAACAGAAAAACTAACAGAAACCCCAAAGAAAGAAGATAAAGTTAATAACAAAGTTTTCAAGAATCAAAAAGTTGTTCCAAAACAAGCAAACCCCACCTCAAGAAAATATCTTGGTATGCACCAAAACTGAAACTTTTTGCTTCTCCGACAAGAAAACGATCACTGTTTGTTTCACTCTCAGAAGTGGGTCTCCACTAAAATGGTGTTGCTTCGCATCCCTTTCCTCCACAAAATCTTTCAGTTTAAAGAAGAAAAAGATTAGTATCAAACTCAATTCATTGTGTACTTTAATGAAAATGAAGATTTAACGTTTTAAGCACTACATTTACTACCTACCCGTATTACTCAGGGCATTCTTTCCTCTTTCTTTGCTTTGTCTCTCTCTGCAATCAATTTTTAGATTTGTCTTGACTTCTCATTTTCTTCTTCTTTGTCCGTTTTACTTTCTCCATCAATTTTATTTATTCACTTTCTCTTTTACGTGCCTCACAAAAATATTAAAATATATTTTATCTATCAATTATAATGAAGATTTTAATTTTAAAACTTTACGATATTTATAAAAGAAATTAAATTAATCCTATCTTAATTTTTGAATATTAAGAGAATAAAACTTTTGGGTTTTGTAGGCATACCCCCTATATTTTGGGGTCACCAAATTGAATGCTTGATACTTATCATAGGTGATGTTCCTCAATGATTGAAAGATTCATTTGTCTTACTAGTGGTATGTATGATATCCCTACCACTTGGATTTTGGATCCTTGTTTGGGGCTAACAAGCATCTCTCAATCAATCAAAAATTGGATAAAAAATTATCTCAATAGATTTCTCCATGTAACAGCCTGTGGTAAATACAGGACAATTGAATGAAAAATGTGATAGATAAATATGTTACTACAATACAAAAACCTGTAATAATTTGAATTAACTCCTTTCTTTCTCTCATTTCTAAGCAATAAATATATGGATAGCTCCAACTTTCAAATCTGTCTTGGAACTAGGAAGTATAGTTTTCCACCTTAGACCAAATGCAACACCAACATCACAAGTACAAAAACTGCCAAGAAGAGTCTAGCACTGCTCCTCACACCACCGTTAGGGCTGCTGGTTACCACGGTGATAGGTGGTGACTCAGCATCTTCGACTGTGGATGGCGGTTCCACATAGGGTGGAGGAGGTGGTTGGTTGAGGCTCGGAGGAAGTCCCATGCCATGCCTCACTTTGATATCGAATGCCATGCCATTCAGGCACTGACTCCCATCATCAGCTTCAGAGAAATAGTATTGTTGGCCCTCGAGGGTCAATGAAACAGTGATTGTCATCGCTTTACCAAATTCATTGCTGCCTCCTTGATACTGAAATGTGTCATCATCTGAAGCATAATCCGCGGTGCAGTTCCTATATGTGGTTGCATTGTAAGTTTGAATAACTGTCTGGTTGGTGTTTGTATTGAATACTGAACACATAAATACAAAACAAATCAGAATAGCAGTAACTGTGAGCAAATCATTAACTATGTACCAAACTCCATTTCATTTCAACTCACTACTACGTCTTATATTTCATCTTACTTTGAATCTAATCTTTCACAGCATATTTGGAGATAGTGGATCAGATGACGTGACTGAAATAAGAAATCACCCCATTACAATTAACTTCATCTTAAAATATCAAATGAAGATTCTAGCAACAAAAACAAGCCAGGAGTCCATTTTTCTCAAGTTGCATATAATCTTCGAACTTTCTTTAATCAGCATTTGTTTGAGGGATTATGGTGGCAGAACGTTGGCGGGATACTAATAAAATTTAGTTAGTTTCATTTTTCTAGTTAAGAATATCAGTTAGTTCAATGTGATATTCTGAAAATTCTTGCTCATTTAACTATACCCATCAGTAGAATTGGGCAATGCAACAATTTGTGGTCAAGGGAACATTGAACTCTCTATAGTCTCTACAATACCCAAATCTGTTTATGTTATTACCACATGCAGAAAGAAAGAGCAATCTAGCAAAACATCTCAACCATCATTTTACTCCACGAAGATATCTTTCTCCGACTTAAATCTGCATCCTCCTTCCATCAGAACCTATGATCCAACGCATATTGTAACTTCCCAGGCCAGTGGTCTTAAATTTATGTACTAATTTTCGAGATCTGAGAAATCAAAAAATGCAAGGAATAAAGTACAAGATCTATCATCAACAAAGATTGTGTACCACTGATCTGCTCTACTCTACCAAACAGAGAAGCCTATAACATGAGATATGTGAAGAGATGTAGCAACAGATATGCTTAGCATTCTTCAGCTTAGAAGCCATTAGGATTTCAGGATCACGGAACGTAAGACCTAATAAAAAACTACAAGAACTTATCAAACACCTCAAATTAATTGGCACGAACCACACAAATTAAGAAACTTCTAATCTCTCAAGACTCTCCAGTCTTCACTAAGATCTATACAACTTGCCTTAGATACAAAGATGGATCCAAGAACTTGAGTCATCGAATGCAATGTACCACTGGACAATGATACAAACGGAACATAAATATGTACATTCTTTGACATTAATACAGATCAGTCACTGTTTTACTAATAGCTGTCATTATAAGTTCGTTAAACAAGTTTATCTCCCCCAAAATGCACAAGCAGATTCAATAAACAAAAATCACCCTTCTTTCCCTTTTTCTCCCTAAAATTGCTCAAAAACTCAGTTAATTAAAGTTTCTTGATTTCAGTTTTCTTCAACAAAGATAGTGACTTTATGATATAATAACTATTAATGGAGAAATCAACTCTAGATATGACTAAACCCATCGATCAAGAAACACCCAAAAGGGTGCTCAAAAATATCAAAAAAAGAACTCACCCAAAGTGTCACCAAGATTAAAGGTCTGTTTAGCAGCCCAAGCAGAGTAATCAGCAGAAGCCTTTTGAGTGTTGACGTCAAAGAACCAACCAGCTGAACCACCAACAGTATGGTTTGTATATCCGGTTGACTGTGAAGCTGCCGAGTTAAAGAACAGAGCCACCGGTAACAGGAAAAGGAAGACCATGGAATCAACCACCGCCATGGTCATGTGGAAACAATGGGCAGAGTTGTTACTACTAACGTTTGACGATCTGAAAAATAAATGTGAAGTTGTAATCGTGACATAGGTAAGGTATAGAGAATAACATGATGAGACGGTCAGACACGTAATTCTTTTATTATTATTATTATGCGACCACATGGTACTGGTACTGGACCACAGCTAGTGTGGTGCTCAAAAGGGAAATGCTAAGTGATGCTACTCTCTTCCTTTCTTTTAGACAAATCAACCTAGAGTTATGCAAAAATCAAATCGATTAATAAATTAAATTGAAAAAAAGTGTTATTAGATTGACGAACTTTTAATGATTTTGTAAAATAAAATAAAATATTGAGTTCGGTTTTTACTATTGAGGAAGCTGATAACCTATTAAGATGATAGTGATTTACTATTTTACCCTTCATAAATATTAAATATTACTCCTAAAGTCCTAATTTAACATGACTTAACATTGTATCCATACTTTACACTACTATCTACACACTTCATACTTCATATACTTCTATTTCAGACTTTTGGTTGTAACATGTAATTATAGTCTTCCTACTACATCTGGTATTTTTTATGCAATTTTTCATTTTCTTTCTTGTTTCACTATATCAAAGCATTTGCAGTCGATTTTCTTGTTTCACTGTATCGGGTTAAATTGTTAAAGAAGTGAGAAGTCATATATTTATTTTATGAACATTTTCTTATTGGGTAAATCGAAAATCGAACCGTTAACGACCAAAAACTGATAAATCAATAAAATAAATTATAGATTTGATGTAATTAAAAATTGAAAATTAATAAATCGAACCGATAATACATAAAACTGAATCGAGCCGATCAACCGATGCACACCATTGATCTCATGACATATTATTTTGTTTTTCGTCATATATGTTAGCACAAGTTGTTTCTTGGAAAACAAAGTTTTTTATAAGAGAAACTTACACAAATTCCATACATTTGGGGGTTAATTACATCTTATCCCGAAAGTTTCTTCAATTACAAAAATTCTGAATCTTTCATTGCTCTGGGATATATTTCTTGGTCGTCTGATACATTACTTAATGGGAGAAATGTATCCGAGAGGGGATATAGATGTATCTGATAGGGGATAAGAATGTATTCAAGAGGGAATTTTTGTATTTTTTTTTAAATGATAAGGAATCTTAGAGATTATGATATCTTAAGTTGTGCATTTATGTAATCTTTCCTTTTTTTAATGCCGAAAAAATTCAATTGAATTCGTATGTTCTATTATTTGTCCAAATTCGTTGGCCTCAAATCTTTATTTTATTCGAGAAAGTGGTCCAATAAATTGTGTTTTTGTACGGAAGGTGTCTATGGGCCAATAGTGCATCGGCTCTCACGGTAACTCAGTTACTGTTTGTGCTGAATAAAAGTGAATATAGATATATTTTTTTGTGCAGAATCGATTTTATGATTGTGAATTGTGCAAAGTGATTTCTCTTAATGGCATATAGAAACATGATAGAGGAGTTTAGCTCAGAAAAGGAACAAATTAAGGGAAAGCTACGATAAATACCAAAAACACTCTAGGATGAATTTTGTTTATCAAAGTGTGATGACCCGTCATGTTATCATGCCATATAAGCGCCACATGTCACGAAGTTGTCCATGTGAATGACTTACATATGAGAAAGGCTTGCCCATAGAAGTTCCTATAGAAGTTCCTAGCGTTTTAGGATTTGTATAGAAGGTCCTTGGAATTTTCTAACATTGTAGAAGATTCTAGAGAGAAGACTATTTTGCAAATATCTATGGACTTATGTAACAATTATTATTTACACTTTAACCCCTAGTTAGTAGTATAAATAAAGGGGCATCCGTTAGTAAATTCTCCAAGCAAAAATGAATACAAGTTCTCTACATAATTCTTCCTAAGAATCCTCTTGTGGTCTTTCTTCCATTCTCTTAGCGATTTTTAGGCTGAATTAGCATAGCAAGATTGTGAGTAAATGGTACAAGATCGTGAGCAAATGGTACAAAAACGTGAACAAATTGTCAAGTATCGCACGTACGCTTAGTAAAAGACTAAGGACGTGACAAAAGGCTACTAAGGGAATGATTATTCAATATATTTCTATCTAAAACAAGACTATTATTGTCAAAGTATGGTGAGATTTATGTAACAGAAATGATAAATTATGCGTATAATGCATGCATAACTATTTTATAACTCAGAGAGAATTTTGAGATGTACAAATTTTGAATGATTTGGATATTATGAGGATGTAATGTTGCAAATAGAGTGCTTCTCTATTAAAAAAAGTATATGAAAGATCATGTGTAACCATTTGTGAGCTTTTAAATGATGTTTCATTTTGTATTAGGCTATTAAAAATACACTTATTTAAAAAAAAAAATGATCAAGTGGATGATATTAGCAAACAAAAAATGCCTTTTATGTTGCAATGAGGGTCAATCAATCAATTATCTTTTTCTTGCTATGTGCTTGTATGCTAAACTTGTATGGAAAAACTACTAATACAACTAGGGATCAGAAGAAGAGCTATAAGATGAATATAAGAACTTATTTAGGCTGATATATATGTGCAATTGTAGATCTCTGCTTCGTGACATGAAAAGAATATTATAATCTTTTAAAAATAAAAAAATTGAGGTCAATACTTTATTGAGAAAAATGGTTCAAGAAATACATATCAAAGACGAAGTACACAATAAATTAAAAGGAAATTTAGAGAGCTTAAGTTACAACTAGGGGTGTGCACTATTCGGATTAAACCGAATAACCAAACCAAATCAAACCAAATTTTTATTTGGATTGGTTTTTTGGTTTTTTGGTTTTTCGGATTGGTTTTGGATTAATAAATTACTTTGTTTGATTTTTTGGTTTGGTTTTGGATTTTAAAAATAAAAACCGAAAAACCGAAAAAAAAAATGAATTATTTATATTTTATATATATATATATATATATATATATAATGTTTAGGCTTAGAATTAAGTTGGAGTTAACCACTTTTGTCCCTTTTTGGTTATTGCCTTTCATGATGATTACGTTTATATTTTATGTTTGAATTACATCTATATAGGTATACTTATAAGTATTGTGTTTTAAGTTTTACTTATGATTTATATTAGAAAGTATATTTAAGGGATTAAATATTATTACTTTGGTTATATATGTTATTAATTATTGACATAACCGAATAACCAAATCGAAAAAAGCCGAACCGAATAGAGGAAAACCAAACCAAACCAAATTTATTTTGGATCGGATTGGGTTACATTTTTACAAAACCAAAAATCGAAAATCCAAACCGAAAAATCGAATGCACACCCCTAGTTATAACACGTGACTGGTTCTTATTAGACTTGACATAGTAATAATTGTATAAAATAGCAAATATAGTCCTGGTGCATGCGAGCATGAGTTGTCCATTCAGAGACGGATCCAAAATTCGAAGGTTAGGGGTGCCATATCATCTAAATAGGTACATGGATCGGTTTCTTCAATTTTAGGTTATGATTTGGTTTATTTAGTTTTTTTATTTCAATAAATAAATTGATCAAATATACGTATTTAGTATTTTTTTTTCTTTTAAATATTCTAATATTAAAGATATACATCTAAATAGTTTATTTTTTAATAAATTTTTTTTAATGAATAAGAGACGTTATTCTCTATAACCTTGAGAAAACAAGAGATTTTCACCTTAAAAATTCAAATTTATATCATCATCTAATACCACATAGTTGAGAAAATAAAAATAAAATTATAGCTTCAATCCAGTTATATCCACTTAGTGTGACGTTAAATATTGAAAGAACCTTTAAATTCAAAAGCTTACATAATAATATTCATCATTTTAAGAACTTTTTTTTTAAAAAAAACTAAAAAATATTTAAACATGTTTTTATTAATATTTATGTGACGTTCAAAATTTAATATTGATCTGTAATTAATATAGAATATCACACAACATTCGTATCAATTAAATAAGGAGTAGCAAATAAAGGAACTAATTGAGGGGGCGAGAAATCGAAGCAAAGACAAAAAAAGAGAGGTAAAAAAAGAGGAAGAGCTGAAAGCCCTTCGCACAAGCAAAGGATAAAAAAAATAGTGTTGCCAAGGGGTTCAAACCCTCAATACTCACATTTAGAACTATTTTTTTAATTTTTTTTTAACCATCCCTAGAGCTCTCACGCCTTTTGCTCCCTTGGTGACTCAAACTCGCAACTTTCGGGTTGAAAGTGAGGGATGCTTACCATCCGAGCAACTCCCTCTCGTCCCCACATTTAGAACTATGCCCTTTACCAGATGCACCATTTAACATAATGTTCATAGGGTGCCAAGTGAAATATATATTCAATATATTATACTTATACACACATATATAAAATTTTAACCGAGGTCAGTGAATGCCATGGCACCCTTACCCATACACCAAGATCCTCCCGTGTCCATTGCCCACAGTTTTTTTTTCTTGGTAAGTAATAATTATCACATTTGATAGTAATAAATTTTTTACTTATAAAAGAAATAAAAAATAATTATTTCCTTACCCAATACAACGAGAAGACTCGACTCTAAAAACATAAAAAAATAATTAATCTATCTTATACAAATCAAATATCTTAAATACAAATATGCATATTTTTTCATACTTACTCTTTATTAAATATTTATTTTCGTGTTTATTATTATACTTCAAAACATAAATTAACTCCATATTAATATACAAATACAAAAATTTCACTTTCTTAATATTAAAATATATATTTTTTTGTAGATATTTAGATTAAAATTTATATTTTACGCACTCAAATGTAATAAAATGTGTATATTAAATCCCCTATTAACAATTCATCAAAATAACAAAAAGGATAGATATTCAAGATAATTAATCTGAATGTATATTTTTAAAACTTATGACTTCAACATAATTACATTTTAACTTTTTCAAGTTAACCTACCATTCAACTGTAGTATAGTCTTTCAAATAGTATTTAAATAATTTGACAACGACAACATCACCTATCAAATAAGTGGATCAAGTTTTGAACTGTATAAAT